ACTACATTTGACAATTATTTGTCCATTCTACAAGATTAGGAACTTTAATTTTTTTTAAAAATTGTTTTGAATTAATTCTCAATGAAACAAGCGCACATTTTTGAAAAAAGGACCGAGTCTCAGATCTATTTGAACAGTGTCAGTTTCATTCTCACCACAGGGCCTAGTGAGTTCTCTTGTCATGTCTTACCTAACTCGCCTGATTAACTAGCTATCCCACTCCTATGGCACCCCTCTTGCCCAATTGTAGCCCCATTGTACCACTCGTCATTCCTGGAACAACTCTTCCCTCACCAGGTATCCATTCAAAGATCGCTATTCCTGGAACCCACACTATCTTTAAAAGGCTTAGTGATGGACACTTAATCTGAAGACATCAGAAAAGAGGAAAATGGTGCTGTGATTCTTCAACAGAGACCTGAAGGAACTGGTGGACGGACTGGTGCAGAGGAGGGGCATCTTTTTGCTGGAGGACTGGCAGAGGAAGCCTTGCCAGCAGACCTTAGAGCCTGGACCAAGGTCAGCACCCAGATCAGTGCAGTTTCCACAGAATGGAAGAACATCCAACAATGGCACAAGGCGCTCTTCTCCCACTAAGGTAAATGCCAGTCACTTGTCTCTGCTGCCTCACACTTTCTCTCCTAATGAAACCAGCTCCCACCAAAATTATTGATCTTTCACTATTGCCATGCAAACTTTTCCCTCAGTTGTTCTTATGTGCCCAACTTCCCACACCACTAGCCTGCATGGCCTCTGTACAGCTTAATCTCCAGCCTGGGACACATCAACAGCAATGAGATGAAGTCACCAAGTACCTGCTCTGCCAAATTGAGAAACCCTGGTGTCTTGTTTGCTCATGGTAGGTGGCAGGATAGGAAGCTGCATATTAATAGGGTGAATTGCATTCTTAATAAGGTTATTAAAAAGGAATCATGACCGCTCAATAGGCAACTCGCCACTCCTTAGCAAGAATCCTACCTTGGCACCTGGAATTTAATTAAATGACGCTGCGAGTCACGCCTGACATCATGATACACCTTCCCAGACTTCTCATGCAATCCTGCCTCACTTCTCGCCATAGCCTATCTTGTTCAGGCCCCTGTAAAGTTTCCACATAAAGGAAAGCTAAATGACAATTCCCAAAAACTTACACAGTTCACCAACACCACAACCTTTAATTACAAGTGTGTGGAAGACCTTCTAATTATAAAATATGGTCCTTGATGATTATATGCTGCTATGGTACAGTAGGATAATAAAAGTTGTTGGAAATTATGTACAATGGTACAGTTATAATCTTGCTCTCAGTGAACAACATTAATTTATGACCCAAATCAGCTATTGATTCATGACATTATTGTTCAACAGACTGCAAACTGTGATACTGATGTCTATTACTGACCTTGCAAAGATTAGTCCAGCTACGATCAACAGGACGGATAGGTATGGAGGGATATGGACCAAAAACAGGCAAACGGGACTAGTTTAATAGTGAAAACTGGGCAGTATGGGCCAAAGGGCCTGTTGCCATGCTGTAGACCTCTGTCATTCTAATATGAAGAAATGCACAGTCTGATGCATTGAAATATGATGCAATGAAGGCACACCCAACTCAGTTGACCCTGCAAAAGTATTCCTGTCCAACCTCTAGTGTCTGGGGTTAATGTTACAAGAGCTGTCCTAGTAACTAGTCAAGCACCCAAAAGCTTCTCTAAATATCATTATCAATAAATATCCCAGACTCCTCAAGGTTCATAATTAAAGCACGAAATGCTAGTAATAATCAGAAGATCTGCCTACAGCTGTCAGAGAAAAAAAAGGCAATGATTCAGGTGTGTGACCACATCTGTACTGCAGATGAAGGCAGTGGGCTGAGAAGGAACTGGTTTTGGTGGCCTCTTGTTTTCTCTGGGCATTCTCAGTTAAATTCTCTCCTTCTTCAGCTCTTACAACGTTCCTTCAAACAATAGCCTCTAAAGGTTACAAATGACAGTGACTGTCTCCTAGTTGTCAGTCTCAAGGGATTATTATATTATTGTTATTAAAGGATATGGGCCAAAGGCGGGTATATGGAGTTAGGCCACATCTTACCAAATGGATCTGATTAACTACGTACTCAACTCCTGTTGTGCCACTGGCCCAATTCTAGCCTCATCCTACCATTAAGCCATGATCTAATTGAATGACAGAACAGGCTTAAGGGGCTGAATGGCCTACTCCTGTTTCTATATTCAATGGTTGTCATCTTCATATCTCATTTACATGCATCCTTGGAGCAGAGGCTTGGATTTTTTTTTAATATTCTAAATATCTAAACAGAATGGTTGTGCAGGAAGGTAGGGAGAGGGTGAATTTCTCCTTAGGAAGGCCAGAAACAGACATTGTGCTGTTATGGGAGAATTGTTTGATCAGTAGCTGATGACCCAGTTCACAGTACAAAAGGTTTTAGGGTACCTGGTCTATTCAAAGAACTTTGCCAAGCCAGTACTTGGTTATGAATGTATGCTGATGAAAATAGCAGACTCCAAGGTCAATAATTGGTGAACTTATCCTGCGATAGATATATCTGAGACAGCAGAGATGGAAATTGTTCAGTGTTTTCTCCAACGTAGCTTATGTTGTCAAGACATGTCCAACATATGTCTCACTATTGTTTCAGAGATAGTAGGAATTGCTACTCTGAAGAAGGGTTTAGGCTCAAAACTGAATCAGAGATAGTAGGAACTGCAGATGCTGGAGAATCCGAGACAACAAGGTGCAGAGCTAGATGAACACAGCAGGCCAAGCAACATCATAGGAGCAGAAAGGCTGACGTTTTGGGCCTAGACCCTTGTTGTTTAGGCTCAAAACGTCAGCTTTCCTGCTCCTCTGATGCTGCTTGGCCTGCTGTGTTCATCCAGCTCCACACCTTGTTATCTCCATGTCTCACTCTTGTAGGGATTGCACTGAGGGACACAGGCATGGTGTCTGGTGTTTCTGTTGTTCAACACTCTCCTAATCATCTTGGATATAATATTTCCAACTTTTACTGATGTAGAGCCCACATACATGAAACTATCAACAACTTCCGCTTATACATTGTCAATGATGATTGCTGGTGGAATGGCAATGTCCAGAATCATGACATTTTTACTTCCTGATACTGTTTTTTTAAGGCAAACTCTTCACGTATGAAAGATCTGGCCATTTGCTGACTAAATATTGTGCAGTATGAAATGCTCATTCTCTTTACTGATATGGCACATGCCTTCAATTCACCTACAGAGGGTCTCTACTTCTTTACCAGCTATTGAACCTCACCCATTCAAAATCCAACCTCGTATGCCAGATAACTGTCGTCAGTCACATCGATCTGTAATTGTTTATAAAACTCAAATCTCTAACTTCTGATACTGACCAAAGATCGCCCATCTGAAACATTAAATTTCCTCTCACCACAGATGCTGTGCATTTCCAATTTTATTTTCAAATTTGCAGCGTTGACGCTCTGCTTATCTTTCCTTTCAATGCAGTTTGCGTGCGACCGGTTACTTATAGTCAGCATACTGGCGGTGAAATCGAATCAGAGATAGTAGGAACTGCAGATGCTGGAGAATCCGAGACAACAAGGTGCAGGGCTGGATGAACACAGCAGGCCAAGCAGCATCATAGGAGCAGATGCTGCTTGGCC